GGGGGGGGGCGAAGAGGACACGACACTGTGAAGAAATATCCGCAGCGTCATGTGTGTACGTGTTGACTGTAGAACGCGTAAAAGAAAATGTCTCCCGTGAGCTGGAGCGAACGCGCAGCACTTGGCAGGGTCCGCCCCCCCCCACGCAATTGGCGTCACTTGGTACAGTCGATGTCGTGCAATAAGTAAATAATGAATATAAGAAACGGCACAAATGTGTTAATTAAACTACTTTAAAGTTTACGGACGGGAAAACGGAATAGCCTATACCCACCACGGGGCTTAGGGCGTGCCGCCTGGCAAATTATTTCAGTGTTAAACACCACCGTCCGAGAGCCAAATCCCCCACAAGCGCGAGCGCACGGAGACTTTTATATATAAGAAAATTAAATTATTACACTTTAATACTATTTATTATTTTACAATATGTTATACACTATACCATTGATCGTCGCGTGAAAGGTATTAAGAGGAAGCAACGAAATATGTCAATGGGAGAGTGGTGCTAGGAAGCTTGCAGCGGAGCAAAGAATCCATTCCCTGCGGGGAATACAAGATATATAGTCCATGTCAGTGAGTGGAACGCGGTCTGAAAGTCACCGTAAACGTGGACACAATCAGTTAAGATCCGAAATGGTTTATTACGTCCTTCCAATGATTGCTAAGCCGGAATCCATCTTCTCGGTTGAAATTGTCTCTGTGTTTGTATATGTGGATCGCCTCATGAACGAATCTCTCATGGTAGCCAGATGGCTTGCAGAGAACCTCTGTCTTGGAGAAGTCAATATCATGTGAACCCACTGAATTGTAACAGTGATCTGCCACGGCTGAGGTGTTTGTCCTACCGTGTTTCAAGTCTGCTTTATGTTCACAGATGCGGTCCGAGACATGTCGTTTGGTTTCTCCAATGTAACTGCTACCACAGAGGCAACTTAGTTTGTAGACGCCAGGGTACTGTATGTCTGGAACCACATCTTTTACAGACGGGACCAGATCACAGATTTGATGTACTGTGTTGAATCGAACCTGGATCTTGTGTTTAATCAGGATTTTGGAGATCTTTTTTGTGACCCCAGCAATGTCGGGTAAGGTGATGGTCTTGAGAGCATACTGATGATACTATGTAGTTTATACTTTAGCTTTTTACGTGGTTGTTTAGTTACTGCAGCTACATACTATTAACATTCATTCCCTTTATTAATGCTACCCCTACCCCCTCCCTTTGATGCTGCTAATCCTGCATAATGCATGGGCATAATATGACTTTGAAAACCCCCCGCCCACCTCCTACGCATTTCACAAGTAGCACTAGTCGCATTCCTGCATTTCCCATAAATATGTTAAATTCCTCTTGATATGCAGATTCTTTTGTCAAGGCGCATTTTCCCTCCCCTTCCAAACCAGCTTAAATAGACGCTCCAAGCGTGGTGGTGTTTCATTTAGACGCTGTCGCCTCGACAGACCTGGTCTTCACCTGAGGACGGCTGCTTGTGTTGTGGCCGAAACATCGTGAGAATTATTTTATTATGTTTTATTTTTATTATTTTATTACTTCCCTTCTACGTGACTTTACCGAAAGAACCAAGAAGAAGAAAATTAGATTTCGGTTATTTCGATGGCTGAGCACCGACCCAAAATAGCAAGTGAGCGGGCAGCAACAATTGGTACTATCAAAATTGTTATAAATAAATACATCGCTTTTAACTCTTTTTTTAATTGAGCAAGGTTATTATTGTTACTATGACAGTTTGGGAGAGAGACGATGATGATTCTGGGAGAGAGGAAGTCCAAAATGCGGACACTGCGAGGGAAGAAGTGGAAACAGAAGCGGTGTGACCTGCGCAGTGTGGGGAGTGAGAGGGTGGGCGAGTTGATGGGTAGCGAGTGGGTGAGTGGGTGGGTGAGTTGGTGGGTGGGCGAGTGAGTCAGTGGGTGGGTGGGCGAGTGAGTGAGTGGGTGGGTGGGTGGGCGAGTGAGTGGGTGGGTGGGTGGGTGGGCGAGTGAGTGGGTGGGTGGGTGGGTGGATGGGTAACGAGTGGGTGAGTGAGTGGCTGGGCGAGTGAATGGGCGATTGCGTGGCTGGGCGAGTGGGTGAGTGGGTGGCTGGGCGAGAGAGTCAGTGGGTGAGTGAGTGGGTGGGTGGGTGGGCGAGTGAGTGGGTGGGTGGGCGAGTGAGTGGGTGGGCGGGCGAGTGAGTGGGTGGGTGGGTGGATGGGTAGCGAGTGGGTGAGTGAGTGGCTGGGCGAGTGAGTGGGCGATTGCGTGGCTGGGCGAGTGGGTGAGTAGCTCAAGAAAATAGTTCGTCGTCGACCACTCAAAAAACGCGTTATAACAATGCGGGGTTCCGCGCTATGATGGTGCACATTCCGCGTTATAACGGGCGCGTTCCAGATTGTGCGGAAAGTGTTCCCGAATGGAAGAACGGTATTTAAATATTCACGAAATAATGACGATTAATGGGGCTTGTGGTAAATCATCTGGCTCCGAGCAAGGTTCGGGGTTCAGGTGAGAAAAAATAATTTTACGCCCGGCTTGGTAACCTTTGAACCGGTAACCGTTTTCAGAATCGGTTACAGCTTCTGAAAGCCGGAACCCGGTAGCCAACTCCAGCGGCACGTTGCTAATGGACGCGCTGCAATTGACACGTGCGCTCACAGTACAAACCGCACGGCGACAGGCCTGACTTGCCACGTGGTTATATTCGCCCGTGTCCCCCAGTTAAGAAGTTGTGGCGCAGCCCCTGAAACTGTTGCTCGCCCAGTGCCACTGCCGGTGGACGCGGCCTCCAATCGAGGCTGCTCTGGAGCGGTAACTTGGCCTAACCTCTGCGTGCCGAGCGTCAGGTGCCTTCGTTTCTCAGCTCACAGATGTCCACACGATACAGAGACAAAATACCAGTTTGTAGCCTTGACAGACTTTTGGGGCAAGTGTTGTTAGCGAGCACCTATGAAGGCCGGCACGGCACACGAGGGGATGAGCGGCCAACACCAGGCCCGGTCGCCTTTGCCTCCCCAGTGGCGATGTTTACGCACCACACCAGGTACTCATTTGAGGCTGCGTCGACCTATGAGAGGCCCAGGACTGGTTTAGATAATCGTCACTCGTGTTGGCCGTGAGTGTAAATTGGAACTGGGGTCGTGGGGTTTGAACAGCAGTGCGCTAACCGCTACGCGCACCGCTTCCCACCACATTCATTCATCACGCATAGCAGAGGAGCATTGCGCCAAACGTGTGACCTCTTGCGACGCCATTCGCATAAACTGCTCTTGCTGCCATACACCGGCGTGTCGAGTGATGTGTTTGATCCACGGATCACGTGGGGGGGGGGGGAAGCGACCACGGCGGCGGCGCCATTCCTGTGAGAGGTCGCAGCCATCATTGTGATCACTGTTACATCGTTTTTATCGCTCTATTCTAGTGATTTCGAAAACGTTTTGGTTTAGCCATATTTGTTGTTTGTTGTAGTACAGAGTTAGACTGATAACTTTAATCAAAATTGTCTTGTGGTTGTTGTTGTTTGAATTGCATCCCAGTGGGATTTTTTGTTGTTGATATTCGGTGCTTTTTCTGGAAGACTTTGCTGTTTTCTACTTGATTTTTCTGTTGGACGTCGTCACTTTAAGATGTTTCTTGTTCGTGTTTTTGTTTGTTGCGGTTGCACCCGATTCAAGAGCCGCATGGCTCACAGGGCTCACAGGACTATACCAAATACATGAACTGAAAAAAAATCACTTCGAACGTCGACCGCCAACTGAAGTGAGCGCAATTTGCTGCTGGAGTTGGCGCATCGAGATGGGGCGACGTGGTCCACAAAGTGGCACCACAGCCGCCGTCTCTAAGCTCCCAATCGCTCGGAGGCCGGTCGCAGGTGCAACGGGGACATTTCTGACGAAGGCTGTCGCCTGATGAAGCTCGTAGTAAGCACTGGCGTAAATGTCGTAGTCAGATGGTAAATGTCGTAGTCAGATGGTAAATGTCGTAGTCAGATGGTAAATGTCGTAGTCAGATGGTAAATGTCGTAGTCAGATGGTAAATGTCGTAGTCAGATGGTAAATGTCGTAGTCAGATGGTAAATGTCGTAGTCAGATGGTAAATGTCGTAGTCAGATGGTAAATGTCGTAGTCAGATGGTAAATGTCGTAGTCAGATGGTAAATGTCGTAGTCAGATGGTAAATGTCGTAGTCAGATGGTAAATGTCGTAGTCAGATGGTAAATGTCGTAGTCAGATGGTAAATGTCGTAGTCAGATGGTAAATGTCGTAGTCAGATGGTAAATGTTGTGGCTTTGCTCTCCAACACACCGATGTTGCTGTACTAGCAACGAATTGGCCACGTTCTGTTTACGTGACAAATCTTACTGATTTGCTGTGTCGGGTGGTGGCGGGTTTAACGACACATTTATATATTTACGCGATCTAACCCTAAAAAACGATCCGAATCAACTTGAAGAGCAATGTCCAGGCCTTCGCACGATGTGGATAACATTCACAAAACACAGCACTGGTAGACTCTTAGTTTGGTGCTCAGATGCTACGAAACGGTGCAGCGACCCGCGTAGAGAGCGACCCGCGGACACAGCGACCCGCGGACACAGAGACCCGTGGTTCTATTGACACCACAGAGGAGGGGAGGGGGAGCGAAGGGCTCTTTGAGGTTGCGACTGGGAAGGAATTGGCCGCGTACTTCGGAGGTCCCCGAGGTATTATGGCGGATTGGAGTAGTTGGGACTTTCGTGCGAGTGGTGGCCTCTGCGCAAGTCCAGGGCGTGGTGGTGGTGGGGGGGGGCTGATTGGAGGAGATGCAGATGTTGCAATTATGCGTTCTAACCCACACAACAACAAACAACAATAAACAACAACAAGAGATCGTCCGTGTGGAAACACCGTTGGGATTCTTCATCGGACAGAATAATCGGCACGTTCAGTAAAATCAACCCCCCGTAGGGGTTTTCAACTAAAAAGGGGACGGAGAGAAGGATCGACTCACACTCAGTGCGACACGGCGGTTGTCAGGTTTTTATTATCGTCAAGTGAACAGCGGCCACGTGAACTCAGAGACACAACGTGTGCTTCCGTGCGTGTGAGCGTGTGTATGTACGTGTGTGTACGCGTGTGTGTATACACGCATGTGTGTGTGTACGTGTGTGTGGTGGGGGCTTGCGCGCTGCGCTAAGAACCCGTCGAGCCGAGTTCGATTCCCGCTCACGGCCACCATGAGCACCTCTCGGTCACCTCAGCCTCAAATAAAAAGTCCGTGTAGTTAGTACCCATGCTGTCGGTGTAGATGGTACTCATGGTATCCGTGTGTTTGGTACTCATGTGGTGATCGCGTTCCTAGTTGGCGCTCATGGTCTCGGCGATCCAGGCGTTGTAGTTGCACACCTTGGTGTAGACGCCCGGGTAGTTGGGTTCCGCACAGCCGCGTCCCCACGAAACGATGCCCTGCAGCTGCCCGTTGCACACCACGGGGCCTCCAGAGTCTCCCTGCACCCAGCGGGGAGAGGGGGGGGGCTCATTAAGCCGGGCGCCTGTGGCAGTACAGCAAGTGGGGTAGTACAGCAAGTGGGTAGTGGGGTGACAGTACAGCAAGTGGGTAGTGGGGTGACAGTACAGCAAATGGGGTAGTTGGGGGTGACAGTATAGCAAGTGGGATAGTGGGGTGACAGTATAGCAAGTGGGGTAGTGGGGTGACAGTACAGCAAGTGGGTAGGGGGTGACAGTACAGCAAGTGGGTAGTAGGGTGACAGTACAGCAAGTGGGTAGTGGGGTGGCAGTACAGCAAGTGGGTAGTGGGGTGACCATACAGCAAGTGGGGTAGTGGGGTGACAGTACAGCAAGTGGTAGTAGGGTGACAGTACAGCAAGTGGGGTAGTGGGGTGACAGTACAGCAAGTGGGTAGTAGGGTGACAGTACAGCAAGTGGGTAGTGGGGTGGCAGTACAGCAAGTGGGTAGTAGGGTGACAGCACGGCAAGTGGGTAGTAGGGTGACAGTACAGCAAGTGGGTAGGGGTGACAGTACAGCAAGTGGGTAGTGGGGTGGCAGTACAGCAAGTGGGTAGTAGGGTGACAGTACAGCAAGTGGGTAGTGGGGTGGCAGTACAGCAAGTGGGTAGTAGGGTGACAGTACAGCAAGTGGGGTAGTGGGGTGGCAGTACAGCAAGTGGGTAGTGGGGTGACAGTACAGCAAATGGGGTAGTGGGGTGACAGTACAGCAAGGGGTAGTGGGGTGACAGTATAGCAAGTGGGGTAGTGGGGTGACAGTACAGCAAGTGGGTAGTGGGGTGACAGTACAGCAAGTGGGTAGTAGGGTGACAGTACAGCAAGTGGGTAGTGGGGTGACAGTACAGCAAGTGGGGTAGTAGGGTGACAGTACAGAAAGTGTGGGTAGTAGGGTGACAGTACAGAAAGTGGGTAGTGGGGTGACAGTACAGCAAGTGGGGTAGTACAGCAAGTGGGTAGTGGGGTGACAGTACAGCAAGTGGGTAGTGGGGGTGGCAGTACAGCAAGTGGGTAGTGGGGTGGCAGTACAGCAAGTGGGTATTAGGGTGACAGTACAGCAAGTGGGTAGTGGGGTGACAGTTACAGCAAGTGGGTAGTGGGGTGGGCAGTACAGCAAGTGGGTAGTGGGGTGGCAGTACAGCAAGTGGGTATTAGGGTGACAGTACAGCAAGTGGGGTAGTGGGGTGACAGTACAGCAAGTGGGTAGTGGGGTGACAGTACAGCAAGTGGGGTAGTAGGGTGACAGTACAGAAAGTGGGTAGTGGGGTGACAGTACAGCAAGTGGGGTAGTACAGCAAGTGGGTATGGGGGTGACAGTACAGCAAGTGGGTAGTGGGGTGGCAGTACAGCAAGTGGGTAGTGGGGGTGCAGTACAGCAAGGGGGTAGTGGGGTGACAGTACAGCAAGTGGGTAGTGGGGTGAACAGTACAGCAAGTGGGTAGTGGGGGTGGCAGTACAGCAAGTGGGTAGTGGGGGGTGACAGTACAGCAAGTGGGGTAGTGGGGTGACAGTACAGCAAGTGGGTAGTGGGGTAACAGTACAGCAAGTGGGTAGTGGGTGTTAGGGTGACAGTAAAGCAAGTGGGTAGTAGGGTGGCAGTACAGCAAGTGGGTAGTGGGGGTGACAGTACAGCAAGTGGGTAGTAGGGTGACAGTACAGCAAGTGGGTAGTGGGGTGACAGTACAGCAAGTGGTAGTGGGTGGCAGTACAGCAAAGTGGGTAGTGGGGGTGACAGTACAGCAAGTAGGTAGTAGGGTGACAGTACAGCAATGTGGGTAGTAGGGTGACAGTACAGCAAGTGGGTAGTGGGGTGGCAGTACAGCAAGTTGGGTAATGGTGGGACAGTACAGCAAGTGGGTAGTGGGGTGACAGTTACAGCAAGTGGGTAGTAGGGTGACAGTACAGCAAGTGGGTAGTGGGGGTGACAGTACAGAAGTGGGTAGTGGGGTGGCAGTACAGCAAGTGGGAGTAGAGTGACAGTACAGCAAGTGGTAGTAGGGTGACAGTACAGAAACGGGGTAGTGGGGTGACAGTACAGCAAGTGGGTATTAGGGTGACAGTACAGCAAGTGGGTATATAGGGTGACAGTACAGCAAGTGGGTAGTGGGGTGACAGTACAGCAAGTGGGTAGTGGGGTGACAGTACAGCAAGTGGGGTAGTAGGGTGACAGTACAGAAAGTGGGTAGTGGGGGTGACAGTACAGCAAGTGGGTAGTACAGCAAGTGGGTAGTGGGGTGACAGTACAGCAAGTGGGTAGTGCGGTGGCAGTACAGCAAGTGGGTAGTGGGGTGGCAGTACAGCAAGTGGGTAGTGGGGTGACAGTACCAGCAAGTGGGTAGTGGGGTGACAGTACAGCAAGGTGGGAGTGGGTGGCAGTACCTGCAAGTGGGTAGGGGACAGTACAGACAGTACAGCAAGTGGGTAGTGGGGTGACAGTACAGCAAGTGGGTAGTGGGGTAACAGTACAGCAAGTGGGTAGTGGGGTGACAGTAAAGCAAGTGGGTAGTAGGGTGGCAGTACAGCAAGTGGGTAGTGGGGTGACAGTACAGCAAGTGGGTAGTAGGGTGACAGTACAGCAAGTGGGTAGTGGGGTGACAGTACAGCAAGTGGGTAGTGGGGTGGCAGTACAGCAAGTGGGTATTAGGGTGACAGTACAGCAAGTGGGTAGTGGGGTGACAGTACAGCAAGTGGGTAGTGGGGTGGCAGTACAGCAAGTGGGTAGTGGGGTGGCAGTACAGCAAGTGGGTATTAGGGTGACAGTACAGCAAGTGGGTAGTGGGGTGACAGTACAGCAAGTGGGTAGTGGGGTGACAGTACAGCAAGTGGGTAGTGGGGTGGCAGTACAGCAAGTGGGTAGTGGGGTGACAGTACAGCAAGTAGGGTAGTAGGGTGACAGTACAGCAAGTGGGTATAGGGGTGACAGTACAGCAAGTGGGTAGTGGGGTGGCAGTACAAGCAAGTGGGTAATGGGGTGACAGTACAGCAAGTGGGTAGTGGGGTGACAGTACAGCAAGTGGGTAGTAGGGTGACAGTACAGCAAGTGGGTAGTGGGGTGGACAGTACAGAAAGTGGGTAGTGGGGTGGCAGTACAGCAAGTGGGTAGTAGAGTGACAGTACAGCAATGTGGGTAGTAGGGTGACAGTACAGAAAGTGGGTAGTGGGGTGACAGTACAGCAAGTGGGGTATTAGGGTGACAGTACAGCAAGTGGGTATTAGGGTGACAGTACAGCAAGTGGGTAGTGGGGGGGTGACAGTACAGCAAGTGGGTAGTGGGGTGACAGTACAGCAAGTGGGGGTTAGTAGGGTGACAGTACAGAAAGTGGGTAGTGGGGTGACAGTACCGCAAGTGGGGTAGACAGCAAGTGGGTAGTGGGGTGAAGTACAGCAAGTGGGTAGTGGGTGGCAGTACAGCAAGTGGGTAGTGGGGTGCAGTACAGCAAGTGGGTAGTGGGGTGACAGTACAGCAAGTGGGTAGTGGGGTGACAGTACAGCAAGTGGGTAGGGGGTGACAGTACAGCAAGTGGGTAGTGGGGTGGCAGTACAGCAATGGGTAGTGTGGGTGACAGTACAGCAAGGGGTAGTAGTGGGGTGACAGTACAGCAAGTGGGTAGTGGGGTAACAGTACAGCAAGTGGGTAGTGGGGTGACAGTAAGCAAGTGGGTGTAGGGGGCAGTACAGCAAGTGGGTAGTGGGGTGACAGTACAGCAAGTGGGTAGTAGGGTGACAGTACAGCAAGTGGGTAGTGGGGTGACAGTACAGCAAGTGGGTAGTGGGGGTGGCAGTACAGCAAGTGGGTATTAGGGTGACAGTACAGCAAGTGGGTAGTGGGGTGACAGTACAGCAAGTGGGTAGTGGGGTGGCAGTACAGCAAGTGGGTAGGGTGTGCAGTACAGCAAGTGGGTATTAGGGTGACAGTACAGCAAGTGGGTAGTGTGGGGTGACAGTACACGCAAGTGGGTAGTGGGTGACAGTACAGCAAGTGGGGTAGTAGGGGTGACAGTACAGAAAGTGGGTAGTGGGGTGATCAGTACAGCAAGTGGGGTAGTACAGCAAGTGGGTAGTGGGGTGACAGTACAGCAAGTGGGTAGTGGGGTGGCAGTACAGGCAAGTGGGTAGTGGGGTGGCAGTACAGCAAGTGGGTAGTGGGGTGACAGTACAGCAAGTGGGTAGTGGTGGTGACAGTACAGCAAGTGGGTAGTGGGGTGGCAGTACAGCAAGTGGGTAGTGGGGGTGACAGTACAGCAAGTGGGTAGTGGGGTGACAGTACAGCAAGTGGGTAGGTGGGTGGTAACAGTACAGCAAGTGGGTAGTGGGGTGACAGTAAGCAAGTGGGTAGTAGGGTGGCAGTACAAGCAAGTGGGTAGTGGGGTTGACAGTACAGCAAGTGGGTTAGTAGGGTGACAGTACAGCAAGTGGGTAGTGGGGGTGACAGTACAGCAAGTGGGTAGTGGGGGTGGCAGTAGCAGCAAGTGGGTAGTGGGGTGACAGTACAGCAAGTAGGTAGTAGGGTGACAGTACAGCAAGTGGGTAGTAGGGTGACAGTACAGCAAGTGGGTAGTGGGGTTGGCAGTACAGCAAGTGGGTAATGGGGTGACAGTACAGCAAGTGGGTAGTGGGGGTGACAGTACAGCAAGGGTGGGTAGTAGGGTGACAGTACAGCAAGTGGGTAGTGGGGTGACAGTACAGAAAGTGGGTAGTGGGGTGGCAGTACAGCAAGTGGGTAGTAGAGGACAGTACGCAAGTGGGTAGTAGGGTGACAGTACAGAAAGTGGGTAGTGGGGTGACAGTACAGCAAGTGGGTATTAGGGTGACAGTACAGCAAAGTGGGTATTAGGGGTGACAGTACAGCAAGTGGGTAGTGGGGTGACAGTACAGCAAGTGGGTAGTGGGGGTGACAGGTACAGCAAGTGGGGTAGTAGGGTGGACAGTACAGAAGTGGGTAGTGGGGGTGACAGTACAGCAAGTGGGGTAGTACAGCAAGTGGG